CTCTCTCTCTCTCTCTCTCTCTCTCTCTCTCTCTCTCTCTCTCTCTCTCTCTCGATCGGTCGGTCGGTCGTGGCTCGTTCCACACGTGTACTATTGTTGGTGCTGTTGTCTTCCCGCAACAATACTTGGTTCCGAGCCCTGCCAAGTTGGGTTCTGGCGCATCCTGATTGGCCAGCCGTGGGCGCTATACCTGTTTCCGGTGTGTCGATGTCAACCTTCAAGGCAAAATCATTAATACGGGTGAAGGTACCGGTCAAGGCTGAGCACACGCGATTCTGTTTTGTTGTATTCCTTCTCGGGGCGAATCATGTTCGACACGCATCTCTTTTGGTGGAATCTCCGGAACGCCGCTGGCGGCGATGGGGGTGCCTTGAAAAAACTGAACGAAATGAATAATACATTGAATTTCCGCACCGGGCTCGGAGAGATCGCACCGAGGTGCAAAACCCCCTTCGAGGAAACACCATTGCAAAAACGTTGGCGCCCAGTGTCATCCCTCCGCCGTCTACTGCTACGGTGGCTTCGTCTTGTTTTTGTTTTCTTCCGCAGCTGCCTTGGATCATATTTGGTGAGCTATGTGGTATGACTGCTGTGCTTTCCGCCTCTTACACTGTCAGGTTGACACCCCGTTTTGACCCTCGTATCCGATCAGACCATGAAGCCACGAGGAACGTGACGAATCGATTGACGTACTCTGTGTGTATTGTTGTGTGTGTATGGTTGGCGTCCGGTATCCGGTGTTTCGTGGAGGCGACCGCCGTGTGAACAGGATAAGTCAAAGGGCGGAAGGAACAGCAGGAAGCAGCGATCAGTACGATCGCCATTATTTTGTGATATGGTGACGTTCAAATGGCACAACAACAATAGAGAGATCAACTCGAACAAGAACTCCGGGCGGCAACGTGCGCAACACCCGTTGTTTCGATCGGACGATACCACAGACGACCCGGTCGTTGGAATTCACGGTCATTTGGTACCTTGAGCGATTTAACTCTGCTCGGTGCCCTGACTACATGTTCAGGTGTTTGAGTAAACACAACGACGTGTTAGTTGGTGGGTCAACAAATGGTCTGGAATGGGTAGTCCGCATAGGTTTTCTGTGTAATGCAAATACGTTTTTCCGTTTGCTGGGCGTAGATGCACTTACCCCAATGAGATGCCATTTCCGCAATGTTTCCGGTGTGGCAGTGAATAGAACAACGATTTCCTCGCAAAACCTCCCTCTCGTGTCAATCGGGCGTAAGCCCTGGACAACTATGTACGCACCAACAACGAGTAAGCCACGACCGTAGCGGTTCTACCGCACCACACCATCGAAAACTGCGGCAGCTCCAGAGTTGCTGGAACGCGTAAACGCGCGTTGCCAGCACTCACACAAAACACAGATCACCTTTCAGAACAGACCGATTCCCGACTCTCGACGCAGACATTGCTTGGAATACACATCCATCATTTTCAAGTATTTTCTGCCGCCGATCCCACCGCTCCAACCCGCGAAAACAAGACCCAACTGCCAAGTGGCAATACATTTCCAAGTCCCTGTGCTGCTTGGATGGTTGCACGTCTTAGAGGGCTCTCATTGGCTTACCCAGGCAGCTCCTGGCCATAACTTCGTCGCCACAACGTGGATACTGTTTGCCTCATCAATGTCCCTAGTCTAGAAGTCAAGATATCGATGTTCTACCTTGCTGCTGCTTCTATTATTGTCGTCCGCCCTGCATGGAACATACGCCAGGAGCATCATGGTAGGAAATTCGATGTACAGCAAGACACATACACACGAAAATAATCAGCTTTCTCGCAACGACACTCCACCACGACGACACCGCCCTGTTCTGCGATGCAACGCTCCCGGCAAACCAACCCGTTCCACGCAATATACACGAAGTACGACACAACGGCACTCACGGCAGACGACTGGAAAGCACGGAGGCGCCAAGGTAAACATTCTGGAGGAAAGTTCGCTATTAGGATGCAAGACCACGTTACCGTGCGCCTTAACCAATATTGCGGACACATGCACACGATGACACTCCTATCCTTCTATATTTTCCACCCTCGAATTAAAGACGATATTGATTGTTTGGTAAAATACAAAGTAGAAGTGAACGATAAGTGTTCAAAAAAGGTCGAGCAACAAACTATCCTGCACAATCACATCAGACCAGGAGTTTGCTGTGCTAACGAGATAAACGAAGCAACACCACTCAAAACAGACAACATCAAAACGCAAGTACGTCAATAAAACAAGGAAAACTCGAGAAATGAAACAATGTTCGTATCCACAACATACAGGAGACACCAGAAACAAAAGCTTCTATCACACCACAACGGGCACATGCAATGAAATTACGAGCGGAGTGCGAAGTTTTTGCTCACATGAAGTACATGTTATACAACGAACAATTCAGTGAGCGCCATTTAGTCCTCGTAGTTCCTCGCCCGTTATCCTGCTGACAAAAACAACCGTCCACGCACCAGGCACACTTCACGTCAACTCAAAAAAAGATTAACGCCATCCCATGAACGCTACAACTTCTCACTGATTACAGCACCGAAAGGATATGGGCGGGGCTCACTGCTGTAATCAACGTTCACGCTAGCAAGGATTTCCAGTCCAGCAGTGTCTGATCCCCGTCGGGAAAAGCTACAGTGCTCGCCTTTTCGCAGCTGCTGCTGGTGGCTGCGGCGGGGCAGGCAGTCGAGGAACTCGCTGGTTTACAGTGGAGGATCGTCCCCGAGCATAGGTGGAGCATCTCCGCCGAGATCCCGCAGGGGTTTCCCCCACCCTCCTCCAAGGCTCCGCTCATGGCCTGAGGGAGGGGGAGCCGCCGAAGTAGACGGCGTCCAGGAGGTCGTCCGTGTCTCCGGATTGCCCAATGAGCTGGTGTGGGTGTGGTACATATCGAAACGAAGGAGAACACGAGGAAACACGGGATACATCAGGCGTTGCGGTGGGAGAAGGGGGTGGAAAACAGGAATTGGTGCACATGAAAGTGTCCTCACGACATCGCCAAGGTCCAGTTCACGTTAGACCATCACGGATCGGTCGATTCGAGGGCCAAATAACATCGCATGAACAAGGTTGTTTCACGACCAACATCTTCCTTGCGTGGGCGGGGAAAGCTACAGGCACGACATTAAGTACTTCAAGCACCTGGGAGTCAAGAAATTCAGGATACAACAATGTACCATGGAAGACTTCGACCATATGGACAAGTGTACAGTTAAGAATTATGCCCATGGACTAAACCTCTAGTCTACTCGTCTCTACTACGGACCACAGCACCCCACAGAGGAAGTAAGCCGCGAGCCTGGGGCACAGTAAGTGTGTAATATGTGATGGCGCGTCCTGTTTTGATTGATAGTAAACCGCTACTACTACGGGCCACAGCACCCCACAGAGGAAGAAAACCGGGGGCCTGGGGCACAGTAAGAGAATAATAGGTGGTGGCGCGTCCTGTTTTGATTGATAGTAAACCCTCGTAGTCTGTAACCACGAGTTCTGCTCACTTCAATTAGGGCAAGAAAAGAAACGCAAGAGCTTGGACGTCAATACCGCTTATATCTACAGTTGGAAAGTCAACCAAAATGTTTCCATAAAGCTAGACTAATTTGTATTGTCGGTTAACGGAGTGTGTTGAAAACCTTGTGTAGTCGTGTCCGAAGCAGTATTGATAGTCCCGGAATTTCCGAAGGTCCAGGCATCGCTCTGGTCGCGGGCAAGTGAGCGTTCTGCCAAGAGCGAACGTGAGTAACTACTGCCGCAGTCATAGCAGCAGCAACAACATGTACACAAAGAGAGTCCAGCTCAATGCCGAAACACATGCGTCCCTTCTCGACGACTTTCCAGACCTCGGAAACAAAAGGCAGCGCCCACACGACACGAAGCATCGAAGGTGTCCTCACGTCAAGCAGAAAATCAGATCGTACTCTACACGTGCACCCGCTTACCTCCAGGAGCTCCGCCGTTGCGTCCCCTTCTGGCGCAGGGCTCACCAACGAGGGAAATACCGCTGGGGCTGACGTCGACCAGGTGGACATTAGGTCGTCCAGTTCGGTGAGAGAGCTGGCCCCGCTTCCCTCACCGGCCCTCCCGTTGCGCCTGGAGAGCAGGATGCGTGACACTTCGACGTCGATCCTGTCGGCCCTGCCCCCGCCCCCGCCCCCGCCGCCGGTTCCCTCATTCACATCGCCTCTCATCGCCTCGGCGGCGTGGCTCTTGGCCAGGTCAAGACTGTTCGTGGGTCAGTCGGGCACCGAGGTGGGTGCAGTAATCGTCAGCGGATATTCCGACAGTGACCGACGAAATCCTTCCGTGAGAAACCAACCGGCATTTACCAAGAGGTGACGTACCGGGGATTGACCTCCCGGGAGTCCTACACAATTCAAACCACGAACCGGTGACAAGATCTTACCAACAACCAAGCGCCTGACTCGCGTTGTCGCTCTGCACACGGCCCAGCACGTGTCAAGGTCGTCAGGAATCGCCCGACAGTAAATGAACCCGTAGCAGTTTTATTAAAACTTTCGCACCAACCATCGCCGGCCAGTTCGGGTTTCGCGAGGAAAGGGAGTCTACCTGGCTTATGCATGACTCTGCCAACAAGACAATATCTGTGTGCTGCGGGCAGATACGCACAACATCGCAACATTGACACCAGTTGGAGTTCTGGAATAGACTTGCAACATATGTTGGAATGTTTTCGAAAAGACGCGAAAGCTGAGCACATTGACTTCAATTTGGATAAACCATTGTCATGAAGATGTGGGCAGTTGTACTAAAAAAGTAGCACTTGCTCCGGCCGGAGCAATCAAAATATTCTAGAGGGCTACTTGCGCTTGTAGCCCCATGGATTCAAAATAATCACAACTCCATGTAAAAGCAATACCGACAAACTTCCTTCTAGCGAGCACACACCACTTGCGCTAAGGACTACTGTAGCTCATCGTGCGAACCGAGATGCTGCGTTCAATTTAACCCTCCTAGTACTGGAAGCCCAAACGGGGACAGGTTGGGGACACATCACTCAAATGCCTATTTACCGTACTGTAGTCACCCAAGGCTTCGCTGCTTGCAACGCACGTGAGAACCCTTGATCTATACCACTTATCACCCAACCCGTGTGCCCCCTAGGTCGTAAAACTGTACATGGCTGGAACTGGAAAAACTTGCTGAATTGGCCTCAATATGGAAAGGGTCCCACGTGCTTTTGGGACATTTTTCGTACCGAAGCCAAGTCACCCTTTGTCTGACGAGGAGCTTGGCACAACAACAGCGTCGTTTTCCAGGCCAACTTAGATCGGACTGCGGGGGCATGGCAGACAGGTCGATATGCTTCATCAAAACATGCGAGGCAAAGCCACACAAGCAACACGTATGCCAAGTAAACAGCACGCCTGTAGCGAAGAGTATCTAGGGTCACAAGCGGCGGAGCTGGTGGGGAGAGTGCCGCTGCCGTCGCTTGATTCCCCGTCGGTGGGGAGCGGACTAGCGCCACCAGTGGAACCAGCCTTTGGCAGTAGCACATCCAATCTCAGCTCCTCCACGTACTGGTGGTATTGAGCTAGCTTCGCCTCGGGAGCGCTGGAGTTTCATAGACACGGTAGGAAGATAAAGATGGACACGCGATGCGCGAGCTCGGCGGGACCAGTGGAAGGTCTGGGAACACGATCGTCTCACGGGTACTGAACGGTGGAGCTCGCAAGTAAATGGGGCCTTACTCAGTTGTCGCACCCTCAACCCGTCATGGTCGGATTACAACCAATACTCGAGAACCGGCGAAACTATAAAGTGCGTGACACTGCCAAAATATTGAGGTTTATTATTCCTCAACGTGGAGAACGTGAGCACACCAGTAGTGCTCACTCTCATGGCGGTGCTCGCCCTCAAGGCGGCATCAAGTGCGAGAAACTGGAATGGAGTTAGAAGGCGATGGCTGCACTAGGAACCTCGGTCCAAAGATCGAGGCTTCAACGGAAAATAAATATGAAGACCATGCCCGTAGAACCTCCGTCGGTTTGAATCCGAACAACGTCAGTAGTTCAACATTGTCACTGTTATGCGTGCGCTATTGTCGTACCACAGTACACTTCGCTCATGAACGAGTACATATGTTGTTTGTACCACAAAAAAACGTGCCAAAATTTCGCTGCTAGCCCCCTGCCGAGGTACTGAGAGGCGTTCTTGCTGTGTTGCTTGCCTCCATTCATGTCACGACTGAACAGACAACCCTTTCGAGATGGAGGATTGCTTCTAGTCCGAACGGTGACGCCGAAACGTGTTGCGTTGGTGACGGTCCTGTCACGTACTGAATGGAACGTCTTGCCATTGCCCCCTTGCCGATTTCGCGTGCTGCGGAAACTGTTTCCCTTCGCACCCCGCAAGGGCCTCCTCATTCCTTGTCACCTCACCTCCCTGAAAAAAACCGTACAACGGCTTGGGTTCGCCACGAGTAGATTCCCACGCGGGGTGTGGCGCGGAATCGTCGACACGCAAGACGACGTTGTTTGCCCGCGTCCTGGGAAACATCGGTGACGCGAAGGGTGTGGATGGAACGTATATACGGGGTCAGTTCGACAAGTATCTTGTCGTTCCTGACCTTTTCTGTGTAAAAGAGGAAGTTTGTGCGGGCATAGCCCATGCGACTGCTGTTTATTGAAACCGTCGATTACCAGAAGCGCTTTGTTACCCGTACTTTGTGGTACAACATTTGGAAGAGGACACTTTGGTCTTTCAATATTGTGCGTGCCATTCCTTCCACGTTCTACTCCACCACTGACCTTGGCTTGCGATTCGAGCCCCGCCGCCTACTGGGGGTGGCGGGGCCCTTCAATGTCTATTTACCTTGCTGTTGTCGGCGAATCAACGGAAACATGGTCGAAGGACTACCTAATAGCCTTGCCGATTCTTGGATAGCAAGTGTGATTTCCGCTATCTGACGCATCCCCTAGACCACGAGCGTGTGGTGGAAATGCCGAGTGTGAAGGGGAGAATACTCGAAAATACGTGCAGCAGCAAAACATCCCCGCAAGAACGTGATGCGCAATTGCTACATTTCTGTGGATTTTGCAAGGATCGGGATTTCTGGTCCATTTCGTTAAGTATCAACCAAACGCACGTTGAATTCAAACTCTCATTTTGTCGACTTCTCAGAAATCATGTCGAACAGTACATCTAACCATCGGAAGGCGCGCGGAGTCCGGAATCTCCCGGTAGGCGCCACGGTTTGTTTCCAACATTTAATAATGCTTGGGTTTTTTTGCGAAGCGGGAAGCAGAGTTGGGTTAGAATCATGAGCCCACGGTGATTGGTAAAGGCAAAGAATGTAATACAGCGGCCCCTGCGGTGAGGGGGAAAGCAATGTTGGTATGTCCGTACTTGGGAGGAGAAGACACGCTTTAACTCTCTCTGATTAGGCACCCGCGGGAGCGAGGAAAGGAAGGGAAGAAGTGGCCCTCCCGAATTCGGGGAAGGGGGCCCACACATAGTAGCCTTTTTCAGGCATACCCATGCTCCTGTCTACGTACCCCCCCCGTGCTGCTGGCAGATCTACCATGCTCGTATCCAGACACACGAACACCCTCCCCGGTTCGTCAAGCTATTGACAAACCATCAGTGGGGCATGGATATTCCAGATCTACTTAAGTTACTCATACAACAACGGGTGCAAGGGAAAAACTCGGCCATCCGGATCAAAAACCCTCGCCTACAAACTCAAAACATAAAAGAAACCGTCGCTATCACGAAGGATTCCAACGGCCGCACTATCAGGGCAGGACCAAGGGCAGGAAAGATTGGACAGGCCACGCTGATTACACACCCGAAGCAATTGGTCAAAAACCCTAAGCTCCCGCCGCGGGTGACGCCCCTGCCCAACGCTTCCTGCGTGACATACCATGGTCCGAGNNAAGGATTCCAACGGCCGCACTATCAGGGCAGGACCAAGGCAGGACAGATTGGACAGGCCACGCTGATTACACACCCGAAGCAATTGGTCAAAAACCCTAAGCTCCCGCCGCGGGTGACGCCCCTGCCCAACGCTTCCTGCGTGACATACCATGGTCCGAGTCGCGCCCAGTGCTAGAACAAAACAAAACATACGCCACGAAAACGAGACCAGAACCCTACACCGGCAGGTTCATCAGAGCCTTCCGGTGGTACTCCAACTTGCCCCTACCAAGGACCTTGGTCAGCATATCGGCGTGCT